TATATATATATATATATATATATATATATATATATATATATATATATATATATATATATATATATATATATATATATATATATATACATATACAGTATATATATTGTTTCTGTGGCCTTTTCAGAGCCAGTATTGTAAATATTTCGGAGATTTTTTTTCTAGTGACACTCCAGGACACAATACTAATGGCGAGCCCAACAAAGCTATCATATATTTATTCCCCTGATGAGTGGGGATAAGATACACGACTCAAGGATAGCGGTGAAGATCACATTTAGTAAATAAGTAAGTGAGGAGATGGGTGGCTCTAACGCCTTGATTATCGCAAATAAGCATAAGCTGGCATTGATGGAGTTATCTTCGGTAGAATTTAATTACTGTTTACCATGGTATACCTGCCCTTTGTCCATTGTTTACATACTTGCACTGTCTATTGTACACACCCAAACTCTGGCTTTGCCATTCGCCAATCCATCCTACATCGGCTAACTGAAATACCTATTAGGTTACACGAGCACCTCATGATGATCTGAGTCTCACTTAATTACTCACTTCATGCCTTCTTCATCAGTGCATACGCCCCAACACTGAATGCAGAGGATGACATCAAGGAGGTTTCTTATGCCAACCATGACAGTGCAAACCTCTATCCCCAGAAAAGGCAAGGTTGTGCTTCTAGGTGACTTTAATACCAAGAGTTGGCAGAGATGTTAACATATGGCAGGAAACCATAGGGAGAAACAGAGTGGGCAAGTGTAATCCTAACAGCCTACTCCCCGGCAAGTGTGATGAAAATAGCCTCACTATTACCAACACCTTATTTACGCAGGCTGACAAGATAAAGGGTTCTTGGCAACACCCACTATCCAAACATTAAGATATCATGGACTACATCATTGTTGGGGAAAGAGATCGCCGAGATGTTCTCATCACCCGAGCAAAGCTTGGGTCAGACCACTGAGACACAGGTCATCAGGGCTAAACTTTCCTTGGATGTCACTCCAAAACAGCGAAGGCGACAAGCCTCCGGTCAAGGCTTTAACACCGAGCGACTAGAGGATAATGTGGTAGAACATGCTTTCTGAGAGCAGCACGAAGATGGGCTGACAAGCAACTCAACAAAAAACAACCTAAATCTGAGTGCCGAATCGGGTATCCTCGACGTGGTCATCACAAAAACCTACAGCGAGACTCTCGGCCAGATTAAAAGAAAACACCAGGATTGGTTTGATGACAATATCTTGGAAATTGACATACTCGTCAATGGTAAATGTGCTGTTTTAACTGACTGGCAGAATAACCTTTAGTCTTGGACCAAAGCTGATACCTTCTGCCAGAAGAAAGTATGTCCCAGCTCAAACTTTACTATCTAATGAATGAATGGGGAAAAATAAAGTGTAAAATGCAAAAATTTGCTGATCAACACAAGAGGAATGAATTTTTCAATTCCACTAGAAAATGTATGGCCCAACTCCTCATGGCGCAGCCCCACTCCACTTACCCGATGATAACTCCACTAATTAAAGACGAAGGAGGTATCCGGCAATGCTGGAAAGACCATCACCATTCACTGCTCTACTGAAACACCGATGTGGATGTCCTGACTACCCAGCAGATCCTTCAGCACCCAGAGCTGACCCACCTCAGCTATCCTCCATCCCGTGATGAGGTAGCTACTGCCATCAAGCAGATGAAAAAACAAAGCCTCCGGGCCTGAGGGAATCCAAGCCGAGGTGTATAAAGCAGGAGGACTTCTGCTTACCAGCCGTCTTCACTCTCTCCTGGAGAATATATGGGAGAAGGAGGAAATCCTTCAAGATTTTAAAGATGCATCAATATTTATAAGAACAAGGGAGACCAGTCAGACTGTGGCAACTACCACGGGATCTTGCTGCTGTTCATAGCTGGCAAGATTATCACATGAGTCCTGAGGCAGAAAATATCAACCCCAGAATCTCAGTGTGGCTTTAGAGTTTAGACCATCACGTGGCAGCATTGACATGATCTTTGCTGCCTGCCAGATGCAGGAAAAGTGCAGAGAATAGCGTCGTGACTTGTACAAGACTTTCTTCGACCTTACCCAGGCCTTCAACTCAGTCAACAGGGAAGTTGTTTTGGTTACCCACCAAAATTCATCGCCATTGTGAGGCAACTCCACAATGGCTTGAACAGCAGTGTCCTGCACAGTGGCACCCAGTATGAGTTCTTCCTGTCCCAAACGGGGGTAAAACAAGGATGTGTTTTGGTACCAACTTTTTTTTTTCTTGATTGCCTTCCTTACTCATGCCAGTGCCAATTTAACGGGCAGGATGGACATCCAGTATCAGATGAAGGAATTTATCAACATAAGATGGCTCCAGGCAGGAACAAAGGTGATGGCCGCTTCCATCACTGAACTTCAGTATGCAGACGACCTCACCCTCGTTGCTCACACTGAACATGACCTACAGGAAATCCTGAACGTCTATGTAGATGCGTATGCACACTTCGGCCTTGAGGTGAATGTACATAAGACTCAGGTTCTCTTTAAGCTTGCCCCTGGTTCAGCAACACCTCTACCATCCATCCAAGTTAACGGTACTATCCTCTGTAATGTTAACCACCTGCCCACCCCCAAGGACATCGTTGAAGAGATTCAACATCGGATGGATCAGATGTGAACCTCAAGCCTTTGGCAGACTCTGTACCCATGTCTTCAGGTGTAGGGAGCTGAAATTATCTACAAAGTTGCACATATATCGAGCAGTGGTCCTCCCCACCATGCTATATGACAGCGAGACATGGGTTTAATAAAGGAAGCACCTCAAGACACTTGAAAACTTTCACCAACGTAGTCTACGTTCCATCTTCCGAATTCGCTGGGAAGATTAGATAACAAATGCCAGTATTCTCGCTGACCAACTACAGGAGCATCGAGGCTATCATTATCCATGAACAACTACGATGGACTGACCATGTTACCCGCATAGACGACAGTAGACTGCTAAAACAGCTATCTTACAGTCATCTAACGAATGGTAAACATAACGCTGGCGGGCAATGGAAAAAGTATAAGGATAGTTTTAAGACAAACCTGAAAAAATACCAAATCGACCCCCTGATCTGGGAGACAATTACTCCACATCATAATGCTTGGGGAACACCACACCAGAAGATGTCAATACTATAGAGTTAGCCTGACTACATACCGAGGCAGACAAGTGCCAGTGCTGGAAAGACGTTGCCGCCGCTCCTCCTGCACTAGATGTAGCTCTTCACACGTGCAACGTTTGTAGACGGCCCTGCTGGTCCCGTATTGGCCTCTCGAGTCATAAGCTCTCCAACGAAGGTGACATCTTTAATAACTCATATCTTCGTATTATAACTGGATGATTATCATTCTCGATTCTGATTGACAGAAAAGTTGTACTACTAACAGCGAAATTGTCATAAGGATTGAGGTAAATTCCCTCAGTGGTTACTCGGTTAACGATATGAAACTGATGTTATGGTTATGTCCACTTTGCACTAAAACTTATTTACAGTACTGTAACTGATTTTGGACCTCTCAGACTAAGGAAAATGTAATTATATGCTATTAGGGACACTGCCCTATATCAGATGTGAGAAGGGTGTTATCCAGTGTGACACTACCAAACTTCACAGGTTTCCTCCGGGTATTACAGTTTCCTTCTCTACTAAAGCAACAAAAGAACGGACCAACTTCCCGAACGGTGGTGAAATGATAAATAGAAAATAAAAAAAGTGTTTATTTGAGAGCTTCAGTACCTTTATGCTATTGCCAACATATACAATACATACAAGAGGGCTAGACTGTGTAGTGTGGTGTAATATCAAAGTGAGCAGTTTGGGTTAAAATTCGTATATAAATCCCACCAGAGGTCACAGCCTCAAGTTAAAGAAGCAACAAGGACAGAAAATTGTCAGAGATTGTTGTGACGGTACCGAGTGTGAGCTCATTTAAGACCGGACTTGACGAATGCTGGCACAGGTTCTGGTATATTCTAAAGCCAGTGTTTGCCTGACACTTGCAAGCAATGCATAACAGACAAATGATCATTCGCTCGACCGGTTAGACAGCCGACCAGTGGCGAAGAGGGTAAAATAAATAAAGGCTCAGCTATTCGTCATTTAAAGGATTAAGATGCAGCTCGCACACACTAGAGAACTGAAGTTGCTTCTAGTTCATAGTTTGGTGCAGAAAAGTGTTTCAGTAAAGTTAACTGTACTATAGCGTTAGACTTTAAATGAAGTGAGGTAAGGGTAACGCTTTAGATAGGCTGGGCTAGAAATTTCCATTCATATCCCTGTTTTACTCTTCTGGTTCATTTTGTAGAGTGAAAAGAGCCACGTGTACTATATACACCCACTATACACTGTCGACCCTTTCAGGCGGTGCCACTGTTCTGCACGTTCCTCATACTGGAGGTGCTGGTTGGGATGCTGAAGGGGAAGCCTGTAGGTCGCCTCAACGACAGCCTCACCTCCATGGGTCACGGCCTCATCTACGAGATATCCAAGTGAGCTGCCTCGGTTCACTTATTATCTTTCTATAACTGCGTGTGATCATGGAGCTTCTGTGACAAGAAACAAAAGCTTCACTATAAAGGCTTCATCTTTACGATTTATCTAAGAGGCCTGTTTACGTTTGACCTATCATTCTCTAACCCCTTCACTCTCATCTAAACATACTCCTGCACTCTCTCATCCACATTCACCCCTGCACTCCCTCATCCACATTCACCCCTGCATTTTCTTCACACTCACGCCTCCACTCTCTCCTATACTCTCATCCACACTTACGCCTGCACTCTCCTTCATTCTCATCCACACAATTACTCCTGCACTCTTATCCACCCTCTCTCCTGCACTCTCTCATCCACACTTCTGAACTCTCATCCACACTTACTTCTACTCTCTCATTCACAATTACACTCTTATCCACACTCACGCTTGCACTCTTCCCTCCACTCTCTCCGATCCACACACCTTTATACTCTCTACATTAGCTTCTCTACTACAGCCTGTCTTTGTCCCCCCCCCCACAGACTAGTGATGCGAGGTTTAGAACTCTACGGCTACAAATGGCTGTATGAGAGGCGGGTAGTGGACTTGGACTGGTCGTCTCCCATTACTTGGTGGGTAGCGGCCATCGGAGTCGACTTCGCCTACTACTGGATTCATCGAGCCACCCATGGTATACACACACTCACACGCCATCTTTGGAACTGCTAACCTCAGCCTTCCAGATTATTTCATCTTAAGATTAACATCTCTTACATAACCTAACCTAACCTATTGTAAACCCAGTCTCACTTAACATAGCTCAGATTCCCCCCAGATTATTTCACCTTTAGATTAACTTCCTGTTCCAGGTGTCAGTGGTTCGATTCCCCGGTGTTCCCAGTTCACGCAGTTGTAAATGGATACCCGAGATTGAAACTTTGGGAACTGAAGGCGGTCGAGCGCAGTACTGGCCACGCTGCCTCCTTGTGTACCGAAGGCTTAGTATACAGTGTGTTATATCCACAGCTTTCCTAAGGGGCAGTCATGCCTATGGGACCCACTTTCACCTTTTTCTTTCAACCTAACCAAACCTCACCTAACTTAGTTTAACCTCACCTAACCTAACACTACCATAGCCTAACCTAACCCAACGTGACCTAACCTAAAATATAATTTAGTTTTGCATCTTTTCAAAATATACGGACAATAGGAGTCATTCATCAGGGAATTATTACACTATTATCTTAGGTCAGGTATGTGGCTATACCATCACCTGTCCTGTCCTATCCTACAGAGGTGAACTTTATCTGGGCGGCCCATCAGGTACACCACTCTTCAGAGGACTATAACATTACCACAGCCTTCCGTCAGTCCATTTTCCAGCGGTTCTTTGCTATCGGCTTCTACCATCCTCTGGCTCTCCTGGGTGTCCCTCTGCCAGCCATTCTTGTCCACATACAGTTCAACCTCCTCTTCCAGTTCTGGATCCACACGGAGCTGGTAGAGAATTGTGGACCTCTTGAGTGGATCATCAACACCCCCTCTCACCACCGGGTTCATCATGGTCAGTGGTTGCCAGTTTCTAACACTTAGTAGATCATCTTTATCCGAGTTCCAGATGGCTTCGCTCTTAAAATTCAAACTTTATTCTTCCAGTTTTTAGCCGTCTTGAGTATGATGACTCGTAGGGTTGAGATCTAAGAAATAACTCATAGAGGATTGGCATCGTTTCAAAGGGTTAAATAATTTACAATTGTGTTAAGCTTACAATAGAAGTCATAGTAAAAGATTACCATTATTTTACGGTCCGTTAGTCAACCTGGAAGCAGTTATTTCTGACCTGACAAACTAATCGTCCTGCATAAGGAAGGTTTTTTTCAAGTACAAACTAACTAATGCTATATCTAAGTATGTTTCCTAAAATTGGTACCTTGGATCGTTCATACTGCAGTGAGTGACATTTATAGCTTAAATCCATTAAACTGTAGCAACAATGTTATCTCGGGTACTTTTAACAATAGCTTTAATATATTGGTACAGTCTCACTCAAAAGTTGGTTAACTCTCCCAGCCAGCTATTGCTACACCGCCTGCTTCAGAAGTATGAACTTGAGTCTGTTACTTCCAACCTTTTGATTCATTTGTATCGGTTTCATGTTCTGGTTGGTACTGAGACAGTTTCAAACACCTGAAGCAGGCAGTGCAGCAATCGCTGGCTGGGAGAGTTAACGAACTTTTGGTTGAGACTGTACCCTGGATCCTTTATTTAGACCACGCCTTGTATAACATTGGTAACTTGGACCCCTCAGGAACCAACAAGTGGTGTTTGGACAAGAACTATGCAGGCGTCTTCATTGTCTGGGACCGTATGTTTGGTACCTTCCAACAGGAGAAAAAGGATGAGAAAATAGTGTATGGATTGGTCGAACAGCCACAGTCCTTTAACGTCATCTGGCTGCAGGTAAACCCCCACACTGGTCGACTAACAACAGTCCCTGACATGAACTGGTCGGACAGTCACAATTCCCAAAATTCGTAAAGGATTCGATTGAAAAATTTTTAACGACATGTACTGTACTGTAAGATTTGCCGTTTTCTTAAAAGAAAATTATCAAAATCCCTCCGACAATAACAATTCCTCCGCCAACTAATATATATATAAAGTGTCCAGTCACCTACAAATGTCTTGTTGCCTCTCCTGCTGTTCCATGAACCCCGAGATTCAGATTCTTGAACCCGAAGCAGTAGACACTGATGCATTTTTCTATCCATAAATGCTTTCGATTCACGAGTCTAACGCCTACATTATTAAACAACATCTTCCCTTGAAGAAGGTCGTCGTGTTTCAACCCGAGTTTTAAACTAAATGAGTCCTGAGGGACACCCCAGTACGGTACTTAACGGGGTGGTGTGGCGGTAAAATTAACTAATTCCAGTAAAATTAATTTATAATATTGGAATTAGTTAATTTTACCGCCACACCGCCCCGTTAAGTACTGTACTGCGGTGTCCCTCAGGACTGCTCATACCCCTAAACATAGCCTGCCTAAAAAAACAACCTGACTGGGCAACCGCAACCAGTAAGGTCATCCTTATACGGTCGAAAACACAATCAAAATCATAGATCCAAACAAAAACAAACTATACAACACCTTACAGTATGGTCGCTGCATGGAATGTCAGGACCCTTCTGGATACTGGCACAAATGAGCGTCCTGAAAGAAGAACAGCCCTTGTGGCAAAAGAGCTGGTAAGGTTTGACATAGACACAGCAGCCATTAGTGAGTCCCGGCTACCAGACGAGGGTCAACTCACAGAACAGGGGTCTGGCTACACCTTCTGGAAGGGTAAGCCTGCTGCAGAGAGAAACCCCATTTATGGAGTTCGCTTTGCCATCTGCCAACGCATCCAATACAGGCTAACTGAAATACCTATTCGGATCAACGAGCGCCTCAAGACATTCCGAGTCCCACTGAATCACCAACGTCATGCCTTTCTCATCAGTGCATACGCCCCAACACTGGCTGCAGAGGATGATATCAAGGATGTGCTATTCGGTGATTTCAGTGTCAGAGTTGGCAGAGATGCTGAAATTTGGCAGGGAACCATAGGGAGAAATGGACTAAGGAAGTGTAATCCCTCTGGTGGACCCTTAGCCGTTTTGGCTGCCCACCAAAATTCATCCTCATTGTGAGGCAACTCCACGATGATATGAACGGCAGTGTCCTGCACAACGGCACCCAGTCAGAATTCTTCCCCATCCAAATGGGGGCAAAACAAAGGTGTGTACTGGCACCAACTCTCTTTTCCATTTTCTTGGCTGCCTTCCTTACTCGTGCTAGTGCCAATTTAGACAGCGGGGTGGACATCGAGTACCGGATGAAGAATCTTTCAAGATAAGACGACTCCAGGCAGGAACAAAGGTGTCGGCAGCTTCCATTACTGAACTTCAGTATGCAGATGTCCTCACCCTTGTCACACACACTGAACACGACCTACAAGAGATCCTGAACACCTACTCAGATGAGTATGCACACTACTGCTTTGAGGTAAATGTACTTAAGACTCAGATTCTCTTTCAGTCTGCCCATGGATCAGCCAAACCTCCACCATCTATCCAGCTTAATGGCAGTACCCTCTCTATGTTACCCACTTTCGGTATCTCGGCTCCCACCTGTCCACCACTGCAGACAACGATGAAGAGATTCAGCATCGGAACAGATGTGCATCTCAAACCTTGGGCAGACTCCGAAACCGTGTCTTCAGCTGTAAGGAGCCGAAATTATCTGCAAAGTTACACGTATATCGAGCAGTGGTCCTCCCCACCCTACTATATGGCCGCGAGACATGGGTCACATACAGGAAACACCTCAAGGCACTTGAAAACTTTACTAACGAAGTCTACCTTCCATGAACAACTACGTTGAACTGGTCATATTACCCGCATGGACGACAGTAGATTGCCAAAGCAGCTACTTTACAGTCACCTAACGAATAGTGAACGTAACGGTGGCGGGCAACTGAAAAGGTATAAGGATAGTCTTAAGACAAACCTGAAAAGTGCCAAATCGACCCCCTCACCTGGGAGACGATTACTCCACACCGTAACTCTTGGAAGGTCACCACACAAGAAGGTATCAATACTTTCGAGTTAGCCCGACTGCATAACGAGGCAGACAAATGCCAACGCCGGAAAGACTCTCCCACTGCCCCTCCCGCACTAGATGTAGCCCTCCACATGTGCATCAACTGTGAACACCCTGCCGGTCCCGTATCAGCCTCTTTAGTCACCTCAGAACTCACCAACCTAGGTGACATCCTTAATAACTCGTATCATTGTATCATAGTTGGATAATCGTCATACTCGATTTCGAGTGACAGCAAAGTAGTAGTATACGTACATACATAATGGAAGCCCCTCGAAATTGAGGATGACCGGCCCAAGGGCCTCAAAGGCGTGAATTTGTTTTTGAGGTGTAGAAGCTGTCGCCAACACAACAACCACACCCTAAGTTAATGAGCTGCATGACCCATTGTCGATGAATAGTCCAAGAAGACTGGACAACTCGTCAACTGCACAGGCTAACCATTACCCCGTAATACGATCCGCAAATCGATTGACATCCAGGTTCCCAATTACTGTTCGGTAGACAGAGGCAAATGGCGTAAAGAAACTTGCCCATAGTTTCATCCTGCCCGAGGATCGGACTCGGGGTCCGCTCGCTTGCGAGGCGAGGATGCTGACCATTACAACACAGGTGGCCGTACATACATACATACATACATACATACATACATACATACATACATTACATTACATTACATGGCAGTAAGCTATGACAACACCAGAATGTGAGAAGTACCTGTAGGTCATCAGGAGGACATCAGGTGTAGCTATCCCTGGGGATCACCTGAAGACTCGCCACCCCAACTTATATCACCTTAAGATTAACTACCCTAACCCTAACTAAACCTAACATAATCTAATGTAATAAAAATTTAAAATAACCTAACCTAACGTAGCCTAACCTAACCTTACTTAATCTAACTTCCCAGATAGCGTTTGAGTGTTTAATCATCAGGTGATATATGCGGAGCTGCTATCTTCAGGTGTTCCCTCATGAGTTACCTAGCGAGTAGGATTTGTAGAAAAGATTGAATTTATGGTATTATTGCATTTGTTGTCACTTATCGAATCCCGGGAATTTATCTTTGATTGGGTGAAACAAAAGCACTTCCCTCATTTAGACCTCCAGTTCATTCTCGAGCAACAAGCCAACGTGTGAACGAGAAACAACCGAGCCTCTCAGATGATATTTCAAGAATCATCACAGGAGGTCGGTTGAGGTTGACAATGATCGTAAGTCCAGGTCGAGCAAAAAAAAAAAAAAAACGAAGATTTAAATTGGAGAGTTATTGACATACACTGATAAACAGACACACACAGCTTGATCCCACCCACACGACTTGGTCAAGATAGCCTCGGGTTATGTTCGCAGTCTCGGTGAAAGTAAATTGTGGAATGCTCGTCATGTTTGATGTAAGTAGAATACTGATGTGTTGACTTCCTGTTTGTTTAAGATAATGTGACGCAAAAGTGTACGTTGATCCTAAGGTGTTGTGTACTGTACAGTAAGGCGCTATATAACCTGCACCTGTACTTAAATCTCTATCTTGCCAGTGTGTGTGTCATTAAATAAATAGTTTTGTTTATATTGTTATGATAAAAAAGTCCATACATGGTCAAATTTGATCTGTCTCATCACAGATCCTCTTTTATAGTTTTACTACATGGTGGCTGTGTTGAGAAAGGCGAAGAGCATGACCACGTGGGGCGACACCCTGAGGGCTCTCTTTTATGGGCCGGGATGGTTCCCCGGGACACCCCGCCTGGGAGACCCGGACACTTTCCCTGACGTGAAGGCCTCCAGGACGAAGTACGACCGCTACCTGCCCCTGTGGGAGCAGGTGTACGTGGCAGTGCACTTCGCGGTGGCATTAATAGTGCAGCAGGTGCTCACCATACACCTGATGGTGAGTTGAGCCGTAATGGTGACCTGGTTTCTGATCCTCTCTACAATAGTATGGTATCCAAATGGCCTGACCTTATCTCAAGTAAAGCTTGAAGACCTTGCTTTCTCTTTCTTTCTAACGAACCTTGATACTTCAACAGACGTTCTCGTGGGTGACGGTGCTTGGCTATATCATTTTTATCGTGGTGACCACCGGAATTATTGGAGCAACATACGACGGGTGGTGGTGGGCGCCGTTGATGGAAGCCATCCGCTGCGCCGCCTACGTCGCCTACGCCCGTACCAGACCCGTCACTGGCTATCCCCAGATTGATGCTGCTCTCGTCGCCTACTTCGCTGTGTCCACCCTGGTGTGGGCCAGCCGCAGCCTCACTGTCCTCAACGTGGCTACAAAGACCGCCAAACTGGAGTGAGGGTTGGGTCTTGGGCTACCCTCAACCTGTACCAATTGTGCTGACGACGTGCCTCCCCAGGAACTAACATGTAGACTTGAAGAGGACACACACACACACACACACACACACACACACACACAAACACACACCCACACACACACACACACACACACACACACACACACACACACACACACACACACACACACACACACACACACACACACACACACACACACACACACACACACACACACACACACACACACACACACACACACACACACACTCTCACCCCCCCATTGACTTGCCAATGAAACTCTGCAAGGAGTTCTCCCCGGAACTAGCTAAACCCCTCTGCTCCATTATCAATGCTTCCCTCAGTCAAGAAAGATGCCCATCTGACTGTAAGACCACCTATGTGTCACCAGTGCCCAAGTCAGCGTGCCCAGAGTTATGCAGATCAGGTACATATCAGTAACTTCTGTATGTGGGAGGCGCTACCTTTAAACCCAACATGACCAGTACATCACATGCGCGACTCCATAGTACATGATAACAAGGGACAAAGGCACACCCATATGAGTAAAGATAAGGAGACACCAGGACAGGCCTGTTACGACGAGAACATCACATCCAGTGAATCCCAAGCACACAGCAAGAGCGGCCTGGTAACAAGAAGTGACCCTGAACTCCACAATAAAAAGGGGACCTACAGCTCATTCAGGCAGACGCACAGAATTCACAGTCAGTCGGAGTCGCACTCAGGCCAATTCCTGCGTTGGGGGAAGGACCTCTCTCTCCAGCGCTGAGTCCCCCAGCTTCTGGGGCCTTCAACAGGAGGTAGAGTACAGCACCAGTCGAAACCGCACTCAGGCCCGAATCCCGAGTCGGGAGGAGGACCCGTCTCCCCAGCCGTACCAGGCCGACAGTCAAAGAGTCCCCAGCTGCTGAGCCTCCCAGAGGTTACACGCGAGTCATTGCCATGGGTGACCCACAGGGCGAATGGAATTACTGTGGTAGGAAGTGTATCCATGTCTTGTTTATACCTCGGTGTCAAAGGTTCATTCAGTTAACTAATAAATAACTTGTAACTTGCATTAGTGTTTAGAAGATTCCCTCTAAGATCATGTTTATAATGGATAACTATTGGGTCACGCTACCAACATTCCATACTTTGCAGTCCGTCTTACTACAGTATAACTCTCTAGATCTTCGTAATGGTGGCAATGGTATTCATTACATTGGTGTAGACCCATTGCAATGGTCCCAAAAGAAGTCATTACATGTGTGTGTGTTTGTTTGTTTATTAAGTTGTATGTTAATCAATGGAATTAGGAAATGACAACAACACTTGTGAGAAAGAGAAAGAGAGAGAGAGAGAGAGAGAGAGAGAGAGAGAGTGACTTTTCATTGGACCAGATATACATGAATAAATACAATGATTTGAGAGCGAGAGTAGGGGAGAGAGAGTGGGTGGTGAGGGGGGGGCAGGAGCCACTGTTAAAGGGGGTTACTGATTCACTCTGGTCTCTCTCCCAGCTGATTCCCTGTAACTTCTAGACCAGCAACTTGCTCGTATCTGAGGACCCACGAAAACATAAGTCTGTTGGTGACAGTAGTTCTGCCAACAACTGCTTAAGGTCACTCCACTCTACGGACGCTCCCATGGACGCTTCGCGCGGACGGCGGTTACACTGAATTCTGTAACGGATGGTCACACAAAATAATATTACGACGGCCACGCAAACACTAATACGGGCGGTCACACAAACACTATTACGGGCGGTCACACAAAATACCATTACGACGGTCACACAAACACTACTTACGGATGGGCCACACAAACACTAATACGGACGGTCACACAAATACCATTACGGACGGTCACATAAACACTCATTACGGACGGTCATACAAATACTCATTACATGGACGGTCACACAAACACTACTATGGAGGCCACACAAACATCAATACGGACGGTCACACAAACACTACTACGGACGGTCACACAAACACTACTACGGACGGTCACACAAACACTACTACGGGCGGTCACACAAACACTACTACGGACGGTCACACAAACACTACTACGGACGACCACACAAACACTACTACGGACGGCCACAAAGACACTTCTATGGACACACCTACGGATTGTCCCACGGTCACTCACGAATGTTCCACGGACATTCCAATAGACATTACACAGATATTTCCAATAGAAACGCCGACGGACACTACAAATTGAGTTGTAGCAGTCCTTAGTTATAGTTAATACATATATGGAAACAACCTAATTATGTACATAGCAAGTTAGGTTAGGTTTGGTTAGGTTTGGTTAGGTTAGGTTTGGTTAGGTTTGGTTAGGTTCGGTTTGGTTCGGTTTGGTTAGGTTAGGTTCGGTTTGGTTAGGTTAGGTTTGGTTAGGTTTGGTTAGGTTTGGTTAGGTCTTGGTTTGGTTTGTTTGGTTAGATCGGTTTGGTTAGGTTAGGTTTGGTTAGGTTCGGTTTGGTTAGGTTTGGTTTGGCTAGGTTAGGCTTTCCACAGTTCGGTTTGGTTAGGTTCGGTTCGGTTAGGTTTTAATAGAAGTTAGGTTTAAGTTAGGTTCGGTTTGGTTAGGTTCGGTCAGTTAGGTTCGGTTTTGGTTAGGTTCGGCTCTTGGTATAGGTTCCGGTTTCTGGTTAGGTTCGGTTTGGTTAGGTTCGGTTTGGTTTGGCTAGGTTAGTTTGCTAGGTTAGGTTAGCTAAATTATAGTTAGGTTAGGTTAGCTAAATTATAATAGTAAACGAAGTCGTAAATGACACACCAAATTTTTATCATAATACGATTTACTTTCGATTGAGTTGTAGGAACGAAGCAAAAAATCTAGTTGATCTTTGAGGCTTAATAAATAACTATCCGTACTTAGAGAGAGAGAGAGAGAGAGAGAGAGAGAGAGAGAGAGAGAGAGAGAGAGAGACTACCATTCCCTTAACACATATCATCGTCCTACCTCAGAATAAAGAAACAATAAGAGATAGCGACAGACAAAAGAAAGATAAACAGAGAGAAAGATAAAAATAAAAATATCGTGTAAAAAAAATAAGACATTGACAATAAGAGTAAATGCAGGGAGAGGTAGAGCGTTCATCATGCAGCCATTATAACAGGATGGCTTATTCCTCTCTCTCTCTCTCTCTCTCTTCTTCTTCTTCTCCCATCCGCTTCCTCCCTCCCTCTCTCTCTCATCTTTACCTTCTCTTCCCTTTCCCTCCTTCTTGCCACCAATCGGGTCCGAAGAGAGAGAGAGAGAGAGAGAGAGAGAGAGAGAGAGAGAGAGAGAGAGAGAGAGAGAGAGTAGGGATGGTGATGGAAAATGAATAACTGGTTTTGGTTTTTCGATATTAAAGTCGGTTTTTTGTTGCGGTTTTTTTTTTTTAACATCTGGTATACGTTTGAAGAACTGTCAGACTGCGGCTGTGTTTGATCGTGTTTATTTTTTTTCGTACCCACATCACGGAGTTCGCTCTTAGGGAGGATGGATGTCTTACTCAGAGATCTAATTTTCCCTTCTCGTACTAGACTGGTGGATTTTTTATTCAAACTCCTATGAGATTAATTAGAGGTTGGTGTTTTCTTTTTATTTAAGTGTGTGTGGGTGTGAGAGAGAAAGTCACACTGAGAAATAAAGACCGAGAGGTAAGATGTGAGAGGAGACAGAAGAAAGAAACTGAGAGATAGAGAAGACAGAGAGACAGACAAGAGACACCCGGCTGTATTGTCTCACCTGAAGAACGTGTTTATTAGCAATTTCGACGACACAATAGCGGGACTCATTCTGGTTTTCATGGAGGGTGTAGTGAGGCAGAGAGACGAGTGCTGATGAAGGTAGTGGTGGTTGGTAGTGGTGGTTGGTGGTGGTTGGTAGTGGTGGTTGGTGGTGGTTGGTAGTGGTGGTTGGTGGTGGTGGTGGTGGTGGTGGTGGTTGGTGGTGGTGGTTGGTGGTGGTTGGTAGTGGTGGTGGTGGTGGTAGGTGGTGGTTGGTGGTGGCTGGTGGTGGTGGTGGTTGCAGTGGTGGTGGTAGTGGTGGTTGGTGGTGGTTGGTAGTGGTGGTTGGTGGTGGTTGGTAGTGGTGGTGGTTGGTAGTGGTGGTTGGTGGTGGTGGTTGGTGGTGGTGGTTGGTAATGGTAGTAGTGATGGTTGGTAGTGCTAGTAGTCCGCTGCCAATACACACACAGTATCTTGGACCTATCCCCTTAAATGCTCTTATATTTTCAGTCTAGGACGCAGTGTTGGAGTGTGTGTGGGTTATCTCTGGCCACACGTTATACATTTAGTTTTGGTTCACATTACTGCCAGAGGAACCCAGTGGCGTTTCTAGCCTTCGGAAAGTGGGGGGGCCACTTTGGGGCCTGAGTCACTTGACTCACTTCCTGGTTTTGGGAATGTTTTTGGAATTACAATTTTGAGAATAAAAAGTGGGGGGGGCCAACCCAGGGGCCAGCCCAAAATCTGGGGGGGTCATGGCCCCCTCTGGCCCCCCTGTAGAATCGTCCCAGGTTTACTCTAGCGGTTACAACAGGCAGTGTCTTCAAGTTTTAGGGCTGTGAGTATGGCGTATAGTTCAGTTTGTCTATTACATTACCGTTAGGCGGAGTCACAAAGACACAACTTCCAGCCCTCCCAAAGACAGTGTTAAGAGAGCCATCAGTATATAGTACTCAGTATAGGAGATGTAAACAGGGAAACCAGTTACCAGATGAACAACGATGCCATTGTGGAATCCAACTGCGAGAGAGATTTAGGAGTAATGATAAGTAGGAATCTTAAGCCAAGTAAACAATGTGTTTTTGCTCGTAACAAGGGTAATAAAGTACTTGGGTTCATACAAAGGAGTGTTAGTTACAAGACTAGCGAGGTCATCTTAAAATTATATCTAGTGCTTGTGAGACCTCACCTGGATTACGCAGTTCAGTTCTGGTCACCGTATTACAGAATGGATATAGAATCATTGGAAAGAATCCAGAGGAGAATGACAAGACTAATCCCGGGCATTAGGAACCTTGAATACAGAGACAGGTTAAAGCATCTTAATTTGCACTCCCTCGAGAGACGTAGAGTGAGGGGCGACATGATAGAGGTGTATAAATGGAAGTCAGGGTTAAGCAAAGGGGACATTACAAA